ATTTCAACGGAACTACTCACATGCTTAAAGCTGAGCATGTACTTAAGTCATTTGCTTATTGGGGCCTGAATGGGCCTGTAAATAGAACTGCCATTTCATCCCTTGAGGTCAGAGGTAAAGCATACAGGCAGGAAAATACAGGGAAACTAGCGCTGATCCTTGCTTTTTCCATATCTGGTATGTGTAAGTACTGAATTTCAATTGCCAGAAGATCACCAGGGATACCAACCCAACATTTTGCATGAGCACTAAATTCAACAAGAAAAAATATGAGTTGCTTAAAGTCAAATAACAAATCATTGGCTGATGTAAAAATAGAACCCAGGAGTCTTGACTCCATGACTCTGCTTTAGCTGCAATTTGAGGTTTATCTAATTGATGATCAAAGCTAGTCTGGGTTTGAAAATAACTTTATTACCAGATATACAAATGGGTCCAAGAAAGAGCTGCTTCATTTTGACATGAATGTACTTTTCAGGACTTTCTCACTGAGGCTGGGCAGCTTTGAGATATATATGTCACATTATGTACATTGAAAATCAGCACCTGATAGAGTAGCTGTTTTTACGATATATTTTATATCACTACTCCATATTGATCCTATACTTTGGCAAATAAGAAGCAATTCAATGGACCAGAATTGCTGCTGGCTGCCGCCCCAAAATATGAGAGATATTAAAAAAAAAAACCTATAGGTATAGGAGGAGGTGTGGAAATGTACAAATATGCTAGGCAGCATTCAGAGATGGAAGAAAAAATGCACAGTGAAACCTGGATAAAAGGCACTACTTCCAAAGAACAATCTTCTGTCTTAACTACTTCAAACTATCCCCATGGTTTCCAGTACTACCACATGGTCCTTTATAAAGACTAACTTCTATTCTATTAGGCAACTGATTTTTATTGGCTTCTTAGGTATTTAAGACATATTATGCAGTGTTTTCTTTTTTGACTCAACAACTCATCCTTGATTCACCGCTTACCAATTTTTGGTCATCCTAAATTCATGATTTTTAAGTTGTTAAACCACCCAGGATTATTTTAGTTATAGCATTAAAAAGTATGATATTTTCTTCCCACTCACCTGTAGAGGAGCATGCATGCCAGTCACATAGGAGATCTAAAGATAGATATCTATATCGAGTTAACATTTCACAGCTCTGCATGTAAAAAGGGCAAACTAGAATTCAGAATGAGCTGTGGGAACAGACATGATGTATCTGACTTTTATTTCAGTGCCTTGTATATGTTAGTTCATTTTATATTGATTTAATAAATGCAACAGCTTAAAGCTTAAATGATTAAAAATGGATATGCAGTTAAGAATGGACATATTAAAAGTAAAAGTCCTACTCACATTTAACCATGTTAAAAAATAGAAAAATTGTAATGAAGCTTATGCTTAGGAGAGAGCATTGTGCAAGTTAATGTAAGTAATGAACCTTTCATGTGAAATGATGTAGTGTCACAACTCATTTGCATCCTACTTAAAGTGTAATTAAGTTTCCCTGACAGCATGGCTTATGGCTGAAAGAACAGACCTGGCTGTTGAATTAATCCAGAATCCCTCTAGTTAATAACACTCTGCAAAGAGAACTTTACACACTTTAAATGAAAGTTCCTAAACTCACATTTAAGGTGACATTATAAGGAATGCAGGAGAAGGGTTTAAAGACATTGGGCCAAATTCAGCTCTGGAGCTGATTTCACTAGGAGTTGTGCCTACTTAATCCAAGATCATATTTTGTCCAGCTTCTAGAAATGCACATAACTGGACAATATACTTAACTACACTGTGTTTCCATTTTGTCTCATTGTTGGACTACTGGTATATGAACTCCAAAATCCACTTTACTAGAGTCTGAAAAGTTCTAAACTCAGAAAAGTTCTAAGATCAGCAAATGATGTGGAATGCCTGTAGGCAGGAAAATAGACTGATTATCACCTGCTTCATGGATTGCAGTATTTTATCAATGCCTGACAACTGGATAAGATAGCACAGGACACCTTGTATGGTCGGTAATATCCCAGTGAAAATTACCCTGAAAAACAGCATTTGTAAAGGAAAAAGACCCTAAAATCAACTCTAGTAATTCCAGGCATCTATAAAAATCTAAATTCAAAACAGAGTAGTTATTAATAGACCACTTACAGCAATTCTGCTTATGTACTTTAAGCAATCATGATTGGTTTTGATGTTACTGGATGTTGATGTTACTGGAACTAACAGCTTATCTTCTATTAACTAGATCACCTCCGACAACAGTGAAAGATTTCCATTCTGTAGTTTAATCTGATTTCTTTCAATGGGGTTGTCAAGGCTGGATCCCCACTTTGAACTTTAGGGTTCTGAACCGCCGACGGGCATGCTCGGGTGTTAGCCCCATTCTGAGTCTGGCCTTGTTTTTAAAAAGTTCATAACTGTTCATGTGTTCCTTAGGCATTTCAGCCGCCACTTCTGCTAAGGGTCCACTGAGCTGCGGTCTCAGCTCTACCATGTACTGGGGTGGAGGGATGTTGTATCCAAGGCAGGCCCTTTCAAAATTTTCTAAGAAGGCCTCAGTATCATCGCCTGCCTTGTAGGTAGGGAATTTCCTGGGATGGGAAGTGGTACCTGGAGAGGAGTTGTTAGGATGGTCTGATGCACCCTGCCTAGTCCTTGCTGCTTCCAGTTCCATCTCTTTTTCTTTCAGCTCCATCTCTCTCTTGTGGGCCGCCTCTTTGGCTTTCTCTTCTCTGTCTCT